TAGTCCCAGACGATCCACTAAATCTGGATGAATGAGCACAAGGTGAGCTCCATTATCAATCAAAGAGTTAACAAGAATCGGGAAAGAAGTTTTCGGGCCAGAGACATGGCATTTCCAACGCAGATGAGAGACGCGGAAGGGGCCACTTACCTCTTCCTCAGAGTCAGTACCGTTTCCAAGGACAGCACTCGGGATGATAGACGCGACCATATCGTCGTTGTTGTTCTCATCTACCACAGTGATAGTGGCAATAGGACCTGTACGTGCTTTCTTGTTAGAGTCGATAGCAGGGCCCCGCAGTTTGCGAGCGCTATCTACGTTGGACATCATCACTTCTTTGTAACCGTTTCCAACAGGCAAGGGGAATTCATGTTCATTGCTAGAGGTACGGCATTTGACGAAGAATGATCTGCATTTAAAGCAGCCCTCATTTTCGCTGAGCAGGCGACGTTCATTGGTAGTAAGGGGTGGTAGACGACCCGAATGGGATGAAGTACCGCCGATTGTCCCGCCATGGCGGCTCTGTGTATTGGCCGCAGAAGAAGACGAGAGAGGCGTAGCAGCACGAGAGCCAGGGCGGGATTTAATCATGTGTTCCGCCATTTGTCGAGCCAAGAGCAGTTGGCGATGACGGCTGTTATCAAGAACCTGAATCGCTTTCGTGAAGGTGTCGAAATCTTTTGAGTGGATTCCGTGGGCGGGGTTAGCAGCGTGGTCCTCAACCTCCTTGTTGTATGCCTCACGCAAGTGAGAATTGGTAGCGTCGATGAGCATGATTTTCAGGTTTTCCTCTGATTGGAAACGAGGGGTTCCTTGTAGGAGGTTGTTGAGAACAAGCAGCTGGACCGCAAGGTCAGAGACGGAGGTAGACAAACTGTCAGGCATGCGGACGGCACACATTTTACGGAAAGTGGAGTCTTGCCAGTCATGTTCAAGAACGCGTCCGCGGAGGACAAGGAAGAATTTTTCGAAGTCCAATTTGGCGAATTCATCACGGTTCTGGTCGATCCAGTTCGAGACCCGAGGATCCTCCCATACGTTCAGACATCTCGTCATGTAGTCGCTTGGCGCAAGCTTACGATTATTAGTCAAGAAGATACGGAGGTCCCGTTTCACGAGTTCGAGAGTTTCCACTGTAATTTTGCCACAGGACATACTGCCTGGCATTCCATTGCCCGAAGGCTTCCATTTGGCGTATGTGACAGTGTCGTCAAGAATAGTGGAGAAAGCGGAAGGCATGTTCGATTGGTACGTATATGCAGGGAAAAAGTCTGAGTCAGAGTCAGAGTCAGAGTCAGAGGAAGGTGGTGTGGAACGGTGGCGAGAACTGGTAGGAATCTGGTAGAAACCTTGAGCGATATCGATGTTCAATGGGAGTTCGGAGTTGGAGAACGGGAGTTCGTCGAAGTTATGGACAATTTCTGCGAGAAGTGCAGCTCGGCGGCGAGTAACGATCTGGGATGAGCTAGGTGAAGCCACTGTGAAGTCACTGTATCCTGTGGGTACAGAGACAGTAATTAGCACAGTTTCGGTGGCACAGATGACAGTAAAGCGAGGTAACAGGTGGGCGGGAGGCAGGTAGGCGAGATAAACAACACGCCACAAGTAACGGGTATTAGGTAAGAGATAAAATTCTCTGCCAACCGTGGTACGATGTATAAAACTGGATATATGCATATGAACAGTTGAAAAAAAAACCGCTGATAGGCAGTTTAACAATTTATTTTAATGGCGAGGTGGGCAAGATAAGAATTTAAGTATTCTTTGAATGTATGGGGTCCGAGGACCAAAGCGCTGTTTAAAAAAAAGTGGAAGCCTGCCAGGTACACTGGCAAGCAACACTAAGAGGAGGACTCACTAAGACCGACGAGTAAACAGGCGAAGATCTTGGATTGAGAAGATGAGGAGGATACGAGTAAGTGATGATGGTGGTGGTACCAGAGTGAGTCCTGAGGATGTATAGTATCACTATATATACTCTAGATGAGACCCATGACGTAGGACGTGTATGGTAGTGGTAACGGTAGGAAGCACGTGGTCGTGCTTCCAATGAGGTCTTTATTCAATGCAACCATCTGCTGTTGTTCTTCCGTCAATTCCCTTGGAATCAAACTTTCTAATTTAATTCCCAGAAGATCTTTAAATTCGTCTTCCACTTTGGGTTTCAACACTTGAAGATAGTTCCTATCTGTCTTGGGAACATCTGCAGCAAACGGCAAATGAATGTGTCCCCTACTAAATGAATTAGGGTTATTAATTGGTGGGCTCGAAGAAGCAATGGAAAGTGTTTGATAGTAGTTATCAAATGAACTCCCAATCATATACTTCTCAGCCGCATTCATTACTTCGTCAATCTTGAAAGGGTCTTCCTTTCGTCTATCTGACATAGAAGTAACTGATACATCTTTCACAACTGTTTCTAGCACGCCTCTCCTTACTTCGGGAGTCATAGGTGCCAAGAACAATCTTACTGCATCACTATTTGTGATCATTTTTGGTTCGTCCATCAGCTTTTTCATTTCAGCATCGAAGAGGAGTCTGAAGATTCTCATCTTCTCCTGTTCACCTGCATCAATTGGATTAAATTGATGGACCAATTGTTCAAGCAATAATCTAGATCCTCTTTCGTCTCCTACAGATTGCGGAAACATATTCTTCAGATCCTTTTTAAATTGATCCCAATTCGGTTTCTTCACCGAATCAAAGACTCTTAATGCTTGTCTCATTTTATAAGACGTCCATTCTAAAGCCAATCTCACTTTAGCCTCATCATATGTAATTCCTCCATGTTCAAATATGCTTTCAGTAGCTTCGAACCATGGTATCATTTGACTTGGATCAGTTATATCAAATAATGGTGCTGTCTTATACTTTCTTGAAAGTTTCGCACTGGCTTTGTCAATCTCAGCCTTAGCTTCAGCTGACAACGCAGGCATTCCATAATTATTGGTAGTCATTTTGACTGGTTCAATCGTATTACTTGCTTGAGAGATAGTTTGATTTAACGTATCTATCAATCTAGTTGATTCAATCGATGTAGAAGATGTTGAAATTGACTCTGGAGCAATCAATTCAATTATATCTTCTTCAATATCAATCAGATTAATTTCTTTTCTCTTCCTTTTCGGATCGAGATTAGATTTCTTCAAATTCCTCGGTAAAGATGTAATTCTTCCTCGAGATATAGATGATCCTGTTCCTCTAGAAACAGAACTTCCACGCGATGCTTCTGTCGGTATTTGAGAAGAGGATGGACGACTGGATTCGTTCGTAGGATTTAATAGGGATGTTCAAGCTGATGTGCCGAACGTAGACCTCCCAAATACAACTCCTGCTTTACGATATTCTTCCGGTGTCAATACTGCTGCTTTCTCCGAATTCTTCGAAGTACGCGGTTTTCCTGATGAACTAATGTTGACAGTTCACAGAAATGGTATCACAAAGATCAACACACTTCTACCAAATAATCGAATATAATCCAAACAAACGTTCAATTTAATTTATTAAGCTAAATGTAGCTTCAAAACCACCCCTCGCGGTGGGCTCCACATAACGAGCTTGCCTCGTTTTTGTGTGAAAGAGAAAGGAAGGAATCTAATGGGCACTCCAACCAACCAATCTAATACACAATATGCAAGTTCACTGCTATCAAATTTATTTAATAGCAAGGGGTAGCATTGGCAAAGGTTCCGCAAAGCTTTGAGAGCTAAGTAAGAAGCTTTAATCAATCAATTTGAATTGTTCTAAGGATTCGATATATTCCTTTGATCAAGGTAGATTCAGCACGGTTTGTGCTTTGATTGTATTGATATGGGTATATCAAGAATTGGGGGTTTGAATCAAAGTAAATTAAACCGAAACACACAGACCCCTACGGAGGGCTAGAACTATGTGCTGGCACAACCACACAGTGTGATTTGCCCTTAAGACCAACAACTGATCCTAAGTTCGAAGAATACCCAACAACTGGATATACTTCTCGCAGTCACAAGGAGCAGAACACGACGTTCCTATACTCACAAGTGCCAGGCCCGAATGGCTGCTAGCAAAGAGGTTTCAGTCTGGCGGGAGAGTGTCTTTCCTTTTTACGGATTAGCACTGCAGCGTCATCCCAAAATCACTTGTATTCCAGATACATCGGATCGCTATTTATACATACAGAATATAGAGTTGCACAGTACAATTAATTTAATACAATAAATGTTCGGAACCGCAAGGAAACTTCTACAATTGGTCAGATATTTATTTAATTTGAATCTTCATGTCTTTATTTGGTCCACAATGGTTCCAAGATTCAAGTATACCTCCAAACATAGGTAGGTACTTCATTATTCATTTAATTTAATTGTTTTGGAGAATGACTTGAATGGTGTTCAACTGTCATTGCTGTTCAACACTTACTTCGATCGTTTGTCACCTCGTCTGGAGGCAAATCAGCTCTCCTCGATTCTAATCCTATCAATCTGATTCATTCTAGAAGGAGTATTTGATAATTCCTGAGTTCTAGAAAGTCATTTCGAGTCAATCCTCGGCTCATGGTCACTTGAGTAAGTTCTTCCAAACTCCTGCCAGTGTAAGGTCCAATAAGAATACCCTTGGTATGTCATACATGAATGGTCATCCTTCGGATGTAGTCCGAGTCTGGTATAATCCTGCTTGACAAACAGGTAGACTGTTATCCGAAGGTAGTATTGGGGATGGGTAAACTAACCAACTTATGGTAGTATGGGTATATGGTCCCTTCAACTTATTAGACTGATTCAGTATTAACTTTGACTGTCAATCTGGGTCTCAATTACAGTCCTCTTGATACAAATCTATACGTGAAAATGTCACAATTCACAGCATAGACGTCCAGCCAAAATTTAGGCATGTCATCGGATCTCCCGCCTCCCGCTTCCTGCCTCGTTGCGGCACAAAACCTCTTCGCTAGCAGCCATTTGGGCCCGGCACTTGTGAGTATAGGAACATCGTGTTCTGCTCCTTGTGACTGCGAGAAGTTATATTCAGCTGTTGGGTATTCTTTGAACTTAGGATCAGTCATTGGTCTTAAGGGCAAATCACACTGTGTGGTTGTGCCAGTACATAGTTCTAGCCCTCTGTAGGGGTCTGTCTGTTTTGGTTTTAATTTACTTTGATTCAAACCCCCAAACCTTGATATACCCATATCAATATAACTATAGTACAAATCGTGCTAAATCTACCTTAATCAAAGGAATATACCAAATCCTTAGAACGATTCAAATTGATTGATTGAAGCTTTTCCCTAGCTCTCAAAGCTTTGCGGAACCTTTGACAATGCTACCCCTTGCTATTAAATAAATTTGATAGCAGTGAACTCACATATTGTGTATTAGATTGGTTGGTTGGAGTGCCCATTTGATTCCTTCCTTTCTCTTTCACACAAAAACAGGGCAAGCTTGTTACCGCAAGGGGGGAAATATCAAATAGTAAACTGGGTTCCAAAACAGGAATCATGGTGGGATTATTCAGACAGGTGCCCTTAGTAAGGGTAGGTGGTACCAGGGGAGGTCCATCTCCCATAGTTCCACAGCCAAGGAGCTGGCAGGCTATGAAACCAATCTCCTTTACTAGATGTACCCCTATGGGAGTTAGGGAAGGGAACCCTCAAGAGGGACAAGCAGTCCCAAAACCTCTCACCCTGAGTGTGGCTAGGCAACAGATTCAGCAATGGGGAGCTTGCGTCCAAAGAGCAGAATAAGGGGAGTACCTGAGACTGGAGGGAAGAAGATACGCATTGGAGGATGGTGGAATAGCTGCAAGTGGAGGAGGCAAAGGAGGGCTAAGCCTGCCTGATAGAGCACCTCCCCCACATCTTTCAAATCACTCAAGAGATCACCTCCGAGCCAGGGAGGGAGGGAGGAATCAACGGGGACAGGTAGAAAGGGGCGGGGGAGGTGCTTCCCCTCCACCTCCTCCTCCACCGCCACCCTCAGGAGGATGAGGTGATAACGATTCCAATGGTTCCAACAAAGGGGAACATACCCAGTCAGGTAGGAATGGTAACAGGAAGAACAAGGACAAGGGGGAGATTCCCACTGGAGCTCCTGAAGTACCTCCAACCTGCTATGATCCTGACCAACTCTGGTACTATGACCCCAGGCAGGGTGGGCATTGTAAAGTAGCTCCGAGACCCTCCAACGAAGGAGGGAATATATGGGAGAGCAACAAGGAGAAGAATTGAATTACCATCGAGTTGAAACTAGACATTGGTAAGATTGAGAGCTTTCCAGGTGACGATTGTTCTGATCTATGTCCTATATATCTTAAGATAAAGGACATCTTTCCCCCAAGACAAAAAATGTCTTTCCCTTAAGATAAAGGATGTCTTTCCCTGAAGATAAAGACCATCTTTCCCCTAAGATAACTTTCACAAAGTGTGCCTGCGAATTTTTGTATTTCCCGTCTTGCGAAACCAATTAACTCTAAGTGCCCAGCTTGTAGGCTTTGGGCGGCTACATGTTAGACTACTACGATCAGCCTTAAACGTGCAAATCAAACAACTTGGTGGCCATGGCACGGAAAAGAAAGGCATTCGAAGACATATTTGGCACAGAAAAATGTTGACAAATGCCCCCGCTAGTATTAGGACTAGTCCTAGTCCTACAGATCCTCTTGCCTATCCTAGTCCTGCTGTTTCTTCTGTCACCCCTAGGCCTGATACTTCACATTCTATAGATTCCAAACCTTCTGTATTTTTGACGCCTTTAGCAAGCTGTGTACAAGCTTGTAATGGCCAACAACTTGCATTCCAGAACTTTCTTCAGCAAAACTTATCCAACAATGGTTCTTTTGATTCAGGCGCAGGCACGAGCTCCACGATTCAGGTTGCTCCGACTTCAGCAGCCTGTCCAGACTCTGGAACAGCTAATGGCTGCATCAATTGGCAAAATGACTCAGAGATCAATCTTCCAGGCCCTGGCGTAGATGAGAACTCCTCAATTTCAGTGCCAACATCCGTCAATTCAACATCTCAAAACTCTCTGAGCCATTCTATCATCGACAGATTGAACTTTGGCTTATCTATTATGGCTCAAATAATCTTGAGTAGAGACTCCCTAGAATTCACCCCACTTGACCCATCAGCTCTGGAAACAATTGTTAAAACTGTTCAGGCAACTGTGAAATTCATGCCCAACCACTAACACAAAATCCAACTGAGCCAAAAGGCTACTATGACAGGATAATTGTCATAGGTGGTTGGGACTATATATACCACATGTATTAAGACCTCTCCGCATAATCTTAACAGCAACTGTAAAAGATTAATGTTCACATCCCTCACATGATAAACTCTTGATATCTGGTTATAGATTGGCAGCCCTGCTTTTCAAAATGACGCGACACTCATGGACATTTTCAACAATCCTAGACTAAGGCATTGTTTGGTTATCAACACTTTGTTGCACATACAATCCCTTCAGAAGGACATGCAAAATCATCTTTCAGCTCTTCATGGATTGTCGCCAGACTCAGAACCAATTGTTATCCAGAATGTACTTGGAAGGGCAGAGCATGCAGTATAAGCCACATCATCAGACTTGAGGAAAGGAGCTACAAGCGACACAGTCCATTCAGAAGTTGCAGAGGCAAATGCAGTTCTTGAAGAAGTGCGTTTCAGTCTGGTGTGAATCATACCCTAACAATAGTACGTCATGGTCATGTTCTGAATAAGGCAATTTCTTAATCAGTCTCACAGATGTAGCTGCACTTGATATTTCTTCCAATTATACAATGGCAACACTAGTTGTTTATACACTCATGTTAACACTGCGACTTTTAGAGGGTGTTGGTCATACCATCTCTAGTTTTTTCCTCAAAGGAATCAAAATTTTTGGGATGAGCTATGGACTGTTGCAACCGGAGGAGACTACAGACCTTCAGAGTGAAACACTTTCTGACATACCCAAAGACATCCGGCAGCTGGAACGGAAATCCAATCTTAACGTTGAGACCACTGTGTACACAGTTTGTCCACAATGCAGCTATACACATCCACCCATATTTTCCGACAACTCTTCCAAACCAATGTATCCTTCAAAATGCACGCATTGCCCAATGGCCCTTGCAGAATCCTGTAGCAAATCTTTGCTGCTAGACAGTAGGCATCCCATAAAGGCTTTCGAGGTTTATTCTTTCCTAAATTGGTTTGGTCACTTCATTGCCCTTCCAGGAATTGCTCAATACAGTGACACATTTTGCATGCAGATTTCCGATGAGCAACCTCCAGAAGACAAAGAAAGTGCATGCAATGGATGGTTCTATTTTGAGCTAAGGGGACCGGATGGGAAACTCTTTGTATGCGAGAGAGAGAAGGAAGGTCGGTGGTTCTTCAAGCTCCATGCAGACTTCTTCAACATTGAAGGGAACTTGCACGGTGGCAAACACAACTCGACAGGAATCATGTCAATGAGCTGCCTCAACCTTCCCCTAGCAATACAGAAAGATCAGGCTTATGTCTATGTTCCTGGAGTCATACTGTAAGACCTGGGTCAGAATAGGTCTTAGGGTAGGTTTTGGTATGAGGAGTTTACGTTGTAGCATGCTAGGAGCAGGCTGGAGCTCGAAGGGAGCTACGGAAACCGCAACTAAGGACGGGAATGACCTAGTAGTGGCTGGGATTGAGAGATGTGACCCTTGAAGGGGTTCCTGTAAGGTCCAGGGAGGTCCCTAAGGCGTAGGTAGAGGAGGTAGAGGTACAGAACCTAGTAGCATTGCATAGGAGGAGTTGTACCCGCTAGAACGTCAACGTAAGGTCGAATAGGTCATAGAGAGAATAGGTCTTGAGTGTATAAGCTCCTGAGAAGGTATACGCCCGGGAGGGGAGGTCCTGGGAACTGGGGGTTAGAGATGGATGACCTCGAGTGTTGGAGGTGGTAACGGAGAAGCGACACATAGTTCGACGTAGGGGATAGCTTCGGGATGTCTAGGAAGGTAACAAGGGGAGCTTTTAGGGACAGGGCATGACGTTACCCCCCTCCCCCCCCTTCACTCCTCCAAGCCTCCGAGGAGGTTTCACTTCGAAATATCACGTGGTTTCCACGTGATCAAACTTTTTCATTTATAAGTTCATTTTCCCTCCCCGTCCGCCTTCTTTATCCTCCTACCTGTCATTACCCGAGTAAAACTCGACTGCAATGACTGCACCTTACGCTTCTACTTCTGCTGGGGTTTCCGATGCTCCTGGCATACCTTCCTCCTCTCCGAATCGCCGCGACTCTGATGTGGACAAGATCATAAGTAATGTGGAGGAACCTTCCCTTGGGCAGCTATTGCTGTTCAAGTCTGTCTTTGGTGTAGGCATCTGTCATAAAGTACGCAGCCCCTATCATTTTCCTTTTCTCACCGTCTCGACGCCTTTACTTGTACGATACATCATCCCATCACTGTCAGACCCCCATCGATTACTGATCCATCTATTACTGATCCACCTGACCCATCTTCTCCTTCTACTGGCTTCCGCCACCTTCCTTGTTCCTAAACTGTACAGTATTACATTGTTGTTTCTCGCAGACCGGATTATGTATATATAGCCAACCCTCCACAGCCTGGTCCCTTATCTTGACCTCTCTGTCATTATCTGGGACCAGGTATGTGCTTACTTATTATTACCTATGACTACGATACTCAATATATCTCTGTCATTATCTGGGACCAGCTTGCCGCCGTTCTGCTTAGTCGCTCCGCCTTGTTACCTTGTCCAGTTGCTCCGCCTCACCGTTCTGCTTAGTCGCTCCGCTTTCCCGCTCCGTTAGTCACTCCGCCTCTGCCGCTTCGTGACAGCATCTCGCTTGCGTGTTACATTGTCGATGATCCATTGTGGTCTATCTTGGCTGCTGCGGATCTGCCGTGTCCCACCTGCGTTCGAGGTAAAAAGGAAGGTAGTTGCTCACTTGTTCCCCATCTTGCTCGGTGTAGCAATTGCAATGATAAAAAGCCGTGTGTCCTTGGACGATTAGCGCGCTTTTGATATTTTTCCCGCAAGTGCTCTTGCGACTTGGCTTTCGCTCGTCGTTTCCTGGAGGTCCATGGAGACCTGGGTCAGTGCACCCGCTATTCTCTCCCAACTGAGCAGTGGCGGATCCTTTACGATCATGTTGAACAGAGCACTAATTCGACCAGTGCGCTTCTCGAGTTGAACCCTTTGGATGACCAGGATCAGTGGGAGCTGGATTGTCAGGAGCTTCGGAAGTTTCGTCAGCGCCAACTGTTGGTTCCTCACACCTCCCCGTTAGCTCGCAATTCTTCTCTCCTACCTCCTGCTCCAGTTACGAAAAAACGCAAACGACTAGTCAAGGTGGACTCTGGTTCTACCCCCAAGCATTGACGTCCGGAACAGGCTGTGGATAGGTCGTCCCCCATCGCACCTACGGTTCCACAGGTCAAGGGAGGTTCAGGTTATCGTCGCGTGGTTCTCGTCCTCCGTCCTCCCCACATTTCCGGTTTGGAGATTCCCACTTTGCCGGGAGTAGGGCACCTCGTCCCTGAGGATTCCTCCCATCGATTGGTTGTCGACCAATCTCGATCTCAGGGTTACACCAAGACTGAAGTGGAGGAGCTCCGAACACTCCTTGCGCAGTCTCGTGGTCAGGTTTCAACCTTGACCTCTCTCCTCTGAGACACCTCGTCTTCGTTGGACCTTGGGAGTCAGGAGCTCAAGGCCAGTTGTCGGTCATTGAAGGAGGTTGCAAGGGACCGTGCTGAGTATCAACGGGTTCTGTCCCAGTTTCGGGCTATCGAAGCTGAATTGCCTGAGCCTGCGTCCGAGGTATGTTTCCTTCCCCCTTGCTTCATTTCCTACTGATCTGAGTGGCTTTCTCTCGTCAGGACCTTGTGACTTGTTTCCGCATCACCCATTCTGAGGTGGATGCCTACAAGGAGGTGGCGAAGCATCAAAAGCAGGAGATCGGGGAGCTCTGTAAGCAGGTTGATGACACTAGTAGTCGTTCCTCCGATGCTTACGCGGAGCTCGACTCCACTAATGCTTGTGCATTGCGTCAACGAGATCGTCTGGAGGAGTTGGAGGAAATGGTTTGCCAGTATCGGGATAGGGCTCATGTCGCCGAGGGTTTGATTAGGCAGTACCCCGAAGATGAGGGTTTGTACGAGGTCGAACTGCCCTCCCTTTCAGAGGTCCAGCGGAAACTTGATGCCTCAGAGGCTTTAGTTTGTCGGTTGGCCACTTTCGCTCACCAACTTTATCAAGCCAATCCCGCGAACTTGCTCCACTACCATAACTGGTATGTAGGAGGTCTCCTGGAGGCCATCACCCTCCTACTGTATTGTGGCCTCCATCACACTCCTGAGCGTCTTTCCTCCGTTGTTGACCTCGTTTTGGGTTACTTGTCCCAGGCTTGCTTTACCCATGGTGAACTGCATCTTTGGTTGACAAGTAGTCTCTTGTATTACTATTCCAATGCAGCAGACCGGGTCGAGGGTCTGTACCAGGAGATGTTGACCCACTCTCATTTCCCTTCTCATGACGCCTTCCTTACCGCCGCCCAGCACGCCGGATACGTAGATGCCCGTCCTGGTTCCTTGGAACCTCTTCTCCATAGGAGATTCTTTTCCTTTGATCACCCCATTCCCATTACGCCTTCTCCTACCTCCAATCAGCTCCCTGCTGTCCCTGCTATGGATTCCATTATGGTCTCCTGGGAGCGTCTTATTGCGAATTATATCCGCAATATGATTGACACCCCAGGACCCCATTACTTCTTTCCCACTTCAGCGGAGCTTCCTGGCGTTGGGGGTGGTCCTTCCCCTTTAGAACGTTCTGTTTTAGCGGAGGGGGGTGACAAAAATGCTCCCAGGAAGGTTGTGGGGGTTACAGGGGAGACAGGTGTGGCTCTTTGTCTGAACGTTGCAACACCCGCAGAGGAGGACGACAGGGATCCTCTTGTGGGAGGTTCGGAGATTCCTGCCATGGCTCGGACTCCTCTTTTCCTCCCTGCTTCTCATTCTCCCTTGTCTCCCCTTCTAATCCCGTCTGTCCCTGTCATTCCCCACACTATCAACCTCACAATGATTGATGACGATGGCGAGGATTTATATGAGTCTCGTGAGGAGTTTGAAGCTAGGATGCAGGGCGATGTGGCAGTTAAGAACGAGAGGTCCAGTCCCACGTTGTAATCTGCTTGTATTC